CCATTGAAGGTCTGATTGAAAGGTTGGGTAGTGGCAACATGAGCTTGCATATTAGTTGGTCATGGATAAGAGGCATCAAACTTGTGATAACATTGATCAGTTGTATGGTTAGAAAATCCACATACTTGACAATGCACCGTTGAGTTGTTCTTGAAGCCTCTTCCACCTATACCCTAGTAACTACCCATTCTTTTACTTATTTGGCCAGACATGCTGCCTCTTTCTTGAGACTGGTTTCGAGAGGTTTTGTTTTGATTGTTGGTGAAGTTGTTGCTCACCAAATGTGTAGGGGGAGTGGATCCATCCATGTTGACTGTCCGCTGTGAGGTTTGAGAGAAAAGTTCAAGCCTGGACTCAAGGCTTAAAAGCATGGAGTGAACTTCGTTTACAGAACATGGCTCAACCTTTGTTGTAACTGCAACCACTACTGCATTATACTCTCGTCATGACCTTCCAAGATGTTCAAGATATGGTTTTGCTCAACCTGAGTCGTTGAGGATTTTTTAGGGCTTGGAGAAACCCTATTTGTGGATTTAACAGGAGGTTGAATGTCCTCGGTTGCCATGGTTGGAGGATTTGGATCTGGTGGAGTTTTGGAACTTTGGCTTTGACGAGTTGAGCGCCGAGATGGCAAAGGAACATTCTTCTTCGGCTTCACGGTGCCCTGCTTGGATTTAGGCATTGTTGAGAAATAGAAGTGGTATCTCAAAAACGAATCTTGGTGTGTGTATAGATACCCCAGAGGGAGCCGGCTAAGCATGCCTTGTCACCAGCAGTTGTGCCTCCCTCCATTCCATTGCTTGATTGAATGATTATGAGAATCATTCCTTCCAGCGCCCTCCATTGGTCACATTCTGATTGTTTACGAGTAGTCAACCAAAATTATGTGAGCGTATAAATATTTAAAGTTGATGTAATATGTACGAATGATTGATTTATATCATTTAAATATATCGGCAATATTGAGGATTACTTGCTTAGCTAGGTGGGTTTGAAGTAGCACCCCATGATGACTGGTTCTCTTGCAGTCCTCACTGCATCACTACAAGCTTTAATTTGTCCTAGGAAGTCTTGCCTTTTTTGGAGGTTTGCAAATGTTTTATGTTGCATAAGCGTGACTTTGGATTTTTCTGAGAAGTTGGACTCTATATCCTGCCAAATCGATCTTGTGCAGTGTTCTTGCCAACCATCATCGCAAGGAGATTTTCAGAGAGTGATGAGAGCAACCATGAAGGAAAAAGTTGATCCTGCCTAACCCAAGCCACGTAGTCTAGATTCACATGGATATGAGAAGTGCCTTCTAAGATGGTGGTTCGTGGTGAAGCTGAGCTTTCTTAGGTAGGGATGGCAATGGGGACCCGATCCCCGATTACCCGTGGAAAATTCCTCTATTAGGGGATGGGGATGGGATGAAATCTTCCCCCATGGGGGTGCTAATGGGGAGAAAATCATCCCCGACGGGTAAACGGGTATGGGGATGGGGAACCAATCCCCGTCCCCGTTTACCCGCGGGGACCCGTTAAGCTAGTATACATGCTAGTTATTCCAATATATTTATACATACACATGAATGATGATGTAATTACATGAGAATATATTAAATATATAAACATAATATCATATTATGTATGTAATGTGATAAATTGAAATCATATAATGTGATGCTATGCCACCTACATAGTATAAATAAAATACATATCAATAACAATTAGCGGGTATGGGGATCCCCGATGGGGATTTATCCCCGCGGATAATGGGGATGGGGAGAAAATCCTCCCTGAAAGCATAAATGGGGATCCCCATGGGGAGAAAATTCTCTCGCGGGGATGGGTATGGGGAGTCAATACCCGATGGGGAATTCTCCATTGCCATCACTATTCTCAGGAGACAAAGTTCTCAAAGCCGTAGTCTATGATGGCAGTGAAGGCATGTTCTTTCCACAACAAATTTTTGCAAATCAGTAAGCTTGATTGACACTGGTTGATGATGACGTTGGAAAAGACTACTTTGAATGTCTTAAGTAAAAGGTGAGTATTTGTTTGACTTGATAAAGAATCAGCTGCCACTTTTTATTGGAGTGGGAGTTGAAAGATAATAGATATTGTTTGTGGTAAATTAAATCATGTTAAGAACCAAACTCTGATACCATAATAGAAATAGCAAGGTCACCATTATTGCACAAGTATCCAAACACCAAGAAATCATGAAGATGATCGCGATATATATATATATATTCAGATCTTTAATATACCTACAACCATCCTAGCTAGAACACTAGGCTACCAGCCAACCACTACATGCCATGTGGAAACAACCACAAGAATATGAGCTAGTGATTTAGGAGAATAATAATCATTAACTTTGTTTAGTACTCTAATATGCTGTTATTATTTTAATACTAGTATAATACCCGTGTATTACACGGGTGCTTGTTAAAAAATTATTCTTAAATTTTAAAATTAATGAGAAAATTATATTAAATTTAGTTTACTTTTTTACAAAAAAAAAAATATATTACTATATATTTAGAATGGTATGTGTTACTTATGACTTACATGTGTTATATTATATTAGTTTTTATAACTTATATCATATCCTTGAAATATAAATATATTAGTTGATAAATAATTTTATTTTTCTAATTAATATTAAAAATAATTTTATTATTGTTATAAAGATAAATATAAATTATTTTTTTTATACATACAATATGGATGTTAAATCGAAGTTTATCAAAAGAAGATTAATTTGATATATTACATATGTAAAACTGATAGAAAATACAAAAGTTATTAACTTTTATAATATATATACAATTCAATAGTTATAATAAGGAATGGTATTAAAATACAATTAATACATGTAACATGACCATAAATAATCAACATATTTATGGTAATCCGAACCTAATTATTTTTGGTTTGAAATTAAATTAAAATTTATCCAAGCCTAATAACGAAGCATGTAATTTTGCCACATAAGATTCTGAAGTACCAGAAGCAGTCACGTAGGCTCAGCGCATTCTGTATTAATATATAGAGGGGAGGGGATTTAATAGTTTTGTATCTATTGGAGCATCCTGGCCTCGGTGCCCACGCATTGCGCACACAATTGTCTTCATATAGTATTCTCCACTACAATATTACACGAGGGTATTGCACCTCAACAAATCTCATGCAATATTCTATCGTGTGATGAAAAAAAGTTTATCATGACAAAAACCAAAAAAATAAAAAATAAAATAAAAAATAAAAATACAAAAGCACTTCCTTACCGAAGTGATGAAGTGATTTAATTCTTACTAATTAATCTAATTGAAATGTAAAATTATATAAATGATAGACTACTTTTTTATGCGGGAAGAAAAAAATAGTTGAGAGATGAGTGGTCTCTTTCCGCATGACCAATACACCATGTAACGTGACGACATTATTGTTGTCTCGTCTTCAATGATACAACTTCTACGCCTTATTAGTTGTAGCACTTCGACTTTCGAGATTAGGCAAACTCGTTCGACGTGAGAAATGAGAACAAATGATGTTATTATAATGAGTGAGGCTTTTCTAAAGATGCAAATTATATGTTCAATGTCCTTTGGCTGCAGCTTATAATCTCCTATAAGATTTCACATATATAGCCATATGATGGGTAGGTTCATCTACCACTTCAATCACGGTGGTAAATGGGCAGAAAATGGTAAACAAATCATATTTGCAAAAAATTGGTAAATAAATTTGAAGTTAAAAAATTGTATGCTAAATTTGCTACAAGGGTTCATGTAAAATTTGGGCTGCAAAAATGGTTGTTGAATTTTGAGCCATAAATTTAAATAGACACGCGAGATTTATGTTGTGTCCTCGTGCTCTCCAAATCCAAACCATGATTTGATGACCTCTGTGAGAATATTGAAGCCAATCATCAATTTGAAAGTCACCGTACTGATGAGCGAACAAGAATTTAAAAAATAAAATAAAATAAAAAAGTTATATATCTGGAAATTGATACATGATAGACTAGTTTTAATTGGAAGATGCTACGGACTCGTTACGAAACCATTCCGTCGGGGTTTGTAACCGTTAGATCAACTATCCCCGACGGTTACATGATGATCTAACGGTTAACAAACTACGACGAAATGGTTCCGTAACGGGACCGTAGCGTTTCCCCTAATTTTAATATACACTAGTTCTCACTTTATTAGGTCTGGAAATAAATTAAAGTGAACAATATGTAACACTTTCTAACAATGAGAACTGAGTTTGAAACCCGTGTAGCGCATGGCACTACTAACAGACATATTTACTCCACAGAACCATCACACATACAGTGTACCAGGATTATTGATCTCGATTTTCTTTCTTTATCAGCATTCAATTTATTATAATTTGTTTTAGTTTGCTGATAATCTTAAGGTTAAATCACAAGCGACATATTTTACGAGTTACCGAATACCCCCTGTTGGTATGGCTCATATATTGACAAATGAAGAGAGCAGGCTGATGCCTGCGAGCGTAACGGAGCGAACGTAGTGAGGGAAGCGGAACGACCGAGCGAAGTGAGCGGAGTGGAGCGAGCAGGCATCAGCCCTTGTTGGACTGGGTCGATTAGTTGGGCCGGGGGTGCGGGGGCAGAGCCCCCGCGGTACGGTACAGGGTATTTAAGTAAATTTATACCTTGTAGGGTTTTAATATAGATACATGGTGTATTGATGTATTTGATACGATTGAGAATAATAAAAGATCCTTCAGCCGCTGTGGACGTAGGCACATTGCCGAACCACGTAAATCTTGTATTGTTTACTTTTCTCGTTTTTTAATTCGTATGCCATATTGTCATCTACTCTCAACACCCCCAAACACGGTCAAATCATATGGGCCGGGCGAAAAAAAAAACAAAATGCGAACTGGCATTTCGCAGTAACACAAAGCACTCGTGTATAAATACGGGAGAACGGGTGCATGTGTGGAACAAAAGAAGTGTGTGGCAATACATATAAAGTTATGGGAGAAGAAAGTAATGCTCCTTTGCTAGTGTCGAGAGGTGGTGATGAGGCGAGCATCCATGATGCGGGTCTCGGGCGGAGGTTCATGGCCGAGTCAAAGCTGCTGTGGCGAATAGTGGGTCCCGCCATACTGAGTCGACTTGCTTCCTACTCCTACAATGTCATCACCCAAGCCTTTGCAGGACACCTTGGGGACACAGAATTTGCCGCCATTTCTATCCTCATTAGCGTCATCACCGGTTTCGATTTCGGCCTCTTGGTACTTAAAACTTTCCATTAATTTATTTCTCTCGTTATGCATATGTACGCAACAAAATAACACTAATTAACCGAGCGAAAATAACTCTTCTAAGTACAGTTGGGGATGGCAAGCGCACTGGAGACCCTGTGCGGGCAGGCGTACGGGGCCCGCCAGTACCACATGCTGGGGATATACATGCAGCGCTCGTGGATCGTGCTCATTGGCGTCTGCATAATCCTCCTCCCGCTCTACTTGTTTGCGGGCCCGCTACTTCTACTGCTGGGCCAGCCCAGGGAGGTGGCTGAGCTGGCGGGACAGCTGGCGTTTTGGCTGATCCCACTCCACTTTGCCTTCGCCTTCATATTCCCCCTGCAGAGGTTTCTCCAGTGTCAGCTGAAGAATGCCGTGTACCTGTGGTCGGCCCTTGCGGGCCTCGTCGTGCACGTGGTCGTCAACTGGCTTTTCGTCAAAGTATGGGGGCTGGGGGCCGTGGGTGCCACCGCCACCCTCAATATCTCGTGGTGGGTTTTCATATTCGGGATGCTCTTCTACACAACATGCGGAGGCTGCCCGGGGACTTGGAATGGAGTCTCCATGGAGGCATTTTCCGGTCTATGGGATTTTTTGAAATTATCCGCTTCTTCTGGGGTCATGCTCTGGTATTTTCCCACCTTTCCCACCTTTCAGGAGAGGATGTTTTCTGTAATGAATATTGTGACTGATAAAATGTTTCATGTATGGCTTGTTTCGAGTGATCCCACAGTCTGGAGAATTGGTACTACAGAATATTGGTATTGATGACCGGAAACATGAAGGAGGCCGCTGCTATTGCAGTTGACGCGTTATCCGTTTGGTAAGTCCATCGATCGAAACAGTACTATATGCTTATTTATAACTTGATTATATTCTGATTATATACCTTTATTATTATTGCAATATCAAACACACTTTTATATGTTGTACCAAAAGCAGATTTGTTAGCATTACAATTATGATAAATAACCGCTCTTTTCATTATAACATTTTATCTTTTTTACTGGCATGCAGCATGGCTATCAATGGTTGGGAGATGAGTATTCCACTCTCATTCTTTGTAGGAGCAGGGTGAGATCTTTATATTTTGAAACTACTTACAAAAAAATATATATTTTTTGTTAATTATTATTATTTTCTTATTTATTTTTGTAAAGAATATAAACTATTAGAAGTTGATGCATTATCATATATATATGTGTGTTCGTGTAGTGTAAGGGTGGCTAACGAGCTCGGTGCCGGAAATGGGAAGGCGGCGAGATTCGCAACCATAGTGTCGGTGGTGACGTCGACTGCAATAGGTTTGGTTATGATGGCCATTGTTTTGATTTTCCACAAAACAATCGCGCTCTTTTTCTCCTCGAGCAAACCCGTGCTCGACTCGGTCAACGGGATGACAGTCCTATTGGCTTTGACCATTCTCCTCAACAGTGTTCAGCCAGTTCTCTCTGGTATGCTGCTAATTACTTGATTAGTTGCTGCTGTGTGTACTTAGTTTAAAGTAGTATATAATTAATATTTGGTTTTGTTAATTAATGATGATTTTACAGGTGTGGCTGTGGGGTCGGGGTGGCAAGCACGTGTGGCCTACATTAACATTGGCTCATATTATATGGTTGGCCTCCCACTTGGGATCTTGATGCAGAGGGTTTTTGACTTGGGTGTTATGGTATATTTCTTTCTTTCATGAGTATTTAATTACAAATAAACTATTAATAGTGTTAATGTTGAAGTTATTTTATATTAATTATTAATTATTTCCGTAGGTAAAATTACAATTTTAGTCTTGTTGGTTTGATTCAGTGATATTTTTTGTCTTGAGATCTGAACATTTTTTTTTATTTGGTCTTATAATTTAAAAATTCAACACTTGATGAGGACTAAAAGTGCAACAAAATTTTAAGTTATAGGACTTACATTGCTAATTAAAAAATCTCTGAGTTGAATATTTGATTAGTAATTTAAGTCATGTTATTTAAAATTTATTGCAATTTCAGTCCCCTGAAATTAAAATTGCAGCACAATTCCCATTATATGATCAAAAGGCAAAAAGTTGAAATCTTAAGACTAAAAACAAAGGATATCTTTTGAAATTAAATAAATAAAGGACTAAAATAGCACCATAACATTTTTAGTCTTAAGACTAATAAAGGATAACTTTTGAAATTAAATAAATAAAGGATAACTTTTGAAATTAAATCTTAAGTTATAGGACTTACATTGTTAATTAAATAAAGCACACCACCCCCGTCATCTTACACGGTTTAGGGTGTTTCGCGCAAGCCAAACTACAATAGAAGGGGATTTGACGCATTTTTTAAAATAGAAGAGGATAGCGCGCGGATTTAGTATATTACAGGGGTGTTTGGTGCATTTTACCCTAAATTTTAGTGAAACATGCACATACATGTCAATTTCTACCAAAATTCATTATTTTTTTAGCCAAAAGTTATCCTTTATTTATTTAATTTCAAAAATTTCGGGGCTACCTCTTATCTAACCAAGAATTACTAGATTAGTGTCGAAATTTTATTGAGATTAAAACCATAGAACTTTATTTATCTTGGATGATTTGAGGAAAAATAATAATAATTAATTAATAAATATGATTGTTGACTTGAATATAGGGAGTATGGGGTGGAATGATTTTTGGTGGAACCGCGCTTCAAACTCTAATTTTAATCTTCATCACATGGAGATGTGATTGGGATAAAGAGGTAACTACAATATTGATCTATATTCTCTTCTTGTTATGATATTTAAACTACTTTTATATTATAGGGAGATGCTACGGTTCCGTTACGGAACCATTCTATCTGTGTTCGTAACAGTTAGATCAATCATCTCCGACGGTTAAATGATGATCTAACAGTTACTAACACCGGTGGAATGCATCCTTAACCGGATATAATACCAAATTACCATCAATTGTTTTATTTTATTTTTAATAATGTGGGTAAATATTGCAGGCAGAGAGGGCTACCCAACACGTGAAAAAGTGGTCGCAAGTTTAACGAAATCCAGAGTTAGATTAAAAAGCTCTGACAATAAGAATAACAAATCCATGTGATTTCATTGTTTTTTGAAAAAGGATTAACGAATATTATGAATCCAAGCTATTTTATGTTTCATGTTATGTATGTTATGGACAAAGCTGAATCCCAGGCTCGATCACTAGGACTTCATTATTACTCCCTTATTACTCGTCTCTTATTTCTGTTTTAGTTGGAATTTCAGAACTTTAAAATTTTTCGTTAACCGGTGAATAAGTTATAAATTTTATTTTCAACTAGTGTGTAGCCCGCGCGATGCACGTGGAAACAATATTATGATAGTATTATAAATTAAATATATAAGTGACATCAATAATTCACTTGTTTGTCTTTAAATTAAGCCGGGTTGGACAGTCTGGTCGGATGGACCGAGTATCGGTTTGTAATCAGTCTAGTTCACTTGAATAACATGTTTGTTATCGAACCCGTCAACACAAGCTGGTCGGACTGACAAGATCTACACGATTTTCTAAATAAATTTGTTACATTTAAAATTATTTTAAATAAGAATAGATATTTTAATAAAATGGAGATTTATAATTTATTTACTATTAATTTAAACATTTGAATTTTTAAATTGTTTAAATTTTAAGTAACACATGTTATTTATTACAAAAAGTACTTTATGTATATATATATATATATATATATATATATATATATATATATATATATATATGTAAATATTTATAAATTAGAACCTGAACAACCACAAATCACTGAATAAAATAACTTGATCGTTTCGTTGACGGTCTGTTATGAGAATCTCATATTTACCGTATATTAATAAAACTTATAATAAAATATATTTTTTTTTCACATAAATATAAATAAAGTGATATATAAATATTAATAAATCATTAAACATGTTGTCATAAAAGTATTATTAATTTGATTATTTGGAGTTTGGACTATATCGCATTCACGTAATAAAGTATTTTTGTGTTAGCTTATGTGATCCTTATCTCGTTGGTTAGGTATATTCCCAAAATCTAATTTTTTAGATGTTGATCATGGATCAATGGAAGTTTATCTCATAAATTTGAAATGCATGTGTACAATTGGTATTTGTTCCGATCTAGACTGCAATATTTATTTACTCGAATCCGTGTATAACTGGGATATTGGTTTTAAAGATTAATCTTGTTTTAATGTTGATTTGATCAATTTCATACAATGTTTATCTTATCATTCTGTTAAAAAAATAGATTCATAATTGCACGCCTCATATTCAACAAAATCTGTTATTAATCTTAAATACATATTAATAATGGTTTATCGTAGATAATAATATGTTTTTAATTCCAATTGTATATTCAATTTAAAATGATATTTTGACAAATACATGCTTAGATTTACCAAATTCTGCTACCAAATGCACCGCGAGAGTTACCAAATGCAATCCAATACCGTGTATGATAAAAAAAATTAGATTGTATGATATGGAACTGAGATTATAAGATAAAAATATAGTATTGTATGATATTGAAATCAATATTTTCTAAATTATGTGAATATTTAATTAGGGAATATCATAATACGGTAAATTATAATACATTGTAACTTATACCTAAGAGCATCTCCAATGTTTAAATGTAGTTGTAGTAAATTACACTCTACATTAACATATTTGACAATTTATCAACTTTTAATCTTCCACTGCACAATGTTATTACAAGTGTAGTGATGAGGTGGACTCAATTAATGTATACAATGTAGAGAAGAACGTGGTTTATCCACATTCTAGTCAACCAATGGAGAGATGGGAGATAAATATTATTACCATTTTTAATATATCTAATTATTTAACTCATTTTCTTTCATATTTATAATTTTTTTATTTTGGCCAAGTGGACAACACTGTGTTTGATTATATTGTCCATTGGAGACAATTTTTTAGAATTAAAGTTGTGAACCTAATAATTATCTTATGTGGTTCACAATCCATCTAATTAATTGACATTTGTTAAAAATTATGTAATAACAACATTTATACATTGGAGATGCTTGTCTAAAAAATTATGGCATCCGTCATATAAAGAATGATCAGATGCTTGCCGATTTAATTTGAATTGTCAATTTATATGCTAAATAAAAAAGGGACAACCAGATTATGTTAAAACTATAAATAACAATTGTATTAGCCATGTGTATCTCCTGTTAGTTCATTCCCCGTAAATATGATTATAGTTATAAATCTTACTTATAAAATAATCAGGATAACAATTTGTAAATTTGTAAATTATGTATTATATTCATGAAATTATTTGAATTAGAAAAGTATATTTGTAAATTTTATTCATTTTTTGGGATTCCAAGCAGCATATTCGATTTATAGATTAATTATATATTCATACTAAATTATTACACTTGGATATATATAAAAAATGCTATAATATTAGAAATGGGCGTGAGATTAGTCAAGTTACTATTAAGTTAATTTTGTTTTCCAAAAAGGCTACAGTGTATACTATCAAAAAATAATCTTATCACAAATTTGAATTTTTTTTCAAAAAAATTGAAGCCGCTTTTTTTGCTGGAATGAGAGAACAAACTCAATTGTATTGTATTTAACTAATGAATATGACGCCACTTCTTTTTGCTGGAATGAGGGACTATATTTTATTAAAGCTCTCCGTGAAATTAAAAAAAAAAAATGCTATAAATGGAAACTAATTAATGATGTCTGAATTTGACCAAGAATTGACTTGCCATTTTTAAAAAGTGGTAAATCTCATTATATATATAGAGATTGATTCCTGATTGTTCAATCACTCGATGATACAAGAAGAAAAAAATGGAAAAGAAAAACTGAACTGAACCAAGTATATGTATATTTTTTTCTCAAGTGTGGAAAGCCGAAATGTGTGGGTAAAAGATTCTCGCGTATTTTAGAGGTTCATAACAATTATTTAGGTATGGATATGAATCGTGTAAAAGGATTCTCGCGAATCTTTAACCTGAATGCTGCGTTAACAAGATAACTGGTATTAATAGATGATGGACAACTATGAAATCTTAAGATCTATCATTCATCGTGTACACCACACATCATTATTTGGTGAGACAATCTGACTTGAACGTCGGAGGTTCTATGCCGCGACATTCCCTACGCTGCTTTGTAGATAACTGACGTAGTTCAAGGGACGGTTCAAGCAATGTTTGCTGAATTAAGGTATTTACACATTAGCTGGGGACTCGTATCTGGCGGTCACCGACGCCGTAGTTTGGATTGTACATTCTTCAATCATAAATTGATTTCGAAATTGTGAGATTTTCTGAAACGATGGAGTACAATGCCTCAATTAGACTGTTTGGCCAGACGGGCTAGAATGGACGGGTCACGGATTATGTGTTTTTTAACTAGTAAAAAAGCGGGCTGTTTTGGCCCACCATGTTCGGTCTGCAAGTCATCACGAGTCCTGGACCTTCTGATAGTGCTAATTATCGCCATTCGAGTGGTATCTGCATGAACGGATTTACCTTTGGCCGGGGTTGGGCTTCAGCCCAGGTCTGTAATTTTTTTCTTTAACAATTATTAGTTTTAAAAAAATATTCTATTTATAGCTCAGCCCAATAAACCAACTTACTAACCCAACAAAATAATTCACTATCTATTAAGTCCAAAAGTTACTAACACCGCTCTAATAATATACAACAAACTCCAATCAAATAGATTAGCCATGGCCATGTTCTTCCTCTGAACACCAAAACAATGAATTTAGAAAGAAGAAAAAAAAAAACTATTCAACAAGAAAAAGCTGGGTTATTCTAGGGTCAGGTAGGCTTCAAATGTGATTGTACATATCTAACATCAGG